GTGCCTGCCTTGCAAGCAGGCAGTCGTGAGTTCGATCCCCGGTACCGATAAAAAGGAAAAAGACAAAAAAAAAAAAAAAAAAACAGAAATTAAAAAACCATTCTTAAAAGGGAGCCCTGCCCAGGGAGGCCACAGGGCTAGACCACCCTAATCAAGTCTTGTCCCTGATATTGTCTGGCCATAGGTGAGAGCTTATCTTGACCTCTCCAAATCATAGTTTCCTCACCCAGGAAAGTATCAATGCTGATGGTGGAAGGCCAGTGTGAGGACGGACTGGGACCTAGCATGTAGTAGAGGCACAATAAAGAGGAGCTCTTGACCGGTTCCCTGTGCCTTCATCTCAGACGGGCCAGCCGAGCCTGTGAGGCCTCCAGCCTCTCTGAATCTTGACCTGTGCCTCTCATCCTGCAAAGACTCTACTTTCTCATGCTTTCCTAGCTCAGCCTCTAGCCTCACTTGAAAAGTCTGCCCCTTCTCTTCCATCCCAATCACCAGAGTCCAGCTTCCCCAGGTCTTGCTCAAGGAATCATCCACGAGTGGTTCCAGCATCCCCAGCTGAGTTGTGGCTCTCCAAGGCCAGCACAGGCTGGACTACTTCCTGGCCTCCTCCAACCTCCAGGGCACTCGCCTTCTCTACCCCAGCCAAGATTCCTCGGACTCTAATTATCCTACAACAATTCTCCAGCCCACAGGCTGTGTCCTTCTCATCCCCTGTGGGAGCCCACCGGGGAAGGCACAGGCAGAACCGCCAGGGAGAGGCACCAGGGCTGAGCCAGCCCTGCACCCCAGCCTGCCGAAGAGGAGCATCTTTCTATGAATCAGCCCCACTGTGCCTGGTGACAGACATGCCTCGCTCTGATCAGTCCCCTCCTCTTGGCACCTCAGAGGCAGGGAGAGATGGAGCAGAGCAGGCAAGAGAACAATGAATATTTTGTGGGAGCCGGAGGCAACTGAAGACTTCTGCTGGAGAGAGGCAGGCAGAGAGGAGAGGGGACAGGCTCAGAGGTGCCAGCACTGCGGGGTGGGAGCCCTCCGGGGATCTGAAGCCTGAGGCCATCTACCTTCTCACCCTTCTTTCCTTTCTCATCTCTTTGTTTTTACCTCCTGCTTTCCGCCCCCATTTCCTTTCTCCTTTTCCATAATTTTTTCATTTCTCCCTCCTCCGTCTCCTTCCACCTTTCCATCATTCCTTCCTCTGCTCGTTAATTCATTCCGAAGTTTAATTCTTTCTTTGATCTAAGTGTTCCTCCCTTGGCTTTGGCTCTGTGCTGGGTCCTAAGCTAGGTGCTAGGGATACAGAGCCCTGGTCCGCACACCCTGATCATGACAGACCTTGTCATCTAGCCCTGGAGGGGCCAGAGGAGCCAGGATTCGCCTCCTAGGATGAGACACTGCCCCTGGAGGCCAGGCAAGGAGAGGCATGCAGGCAGAGGACCTGGCCAGGTACGGCCCAGCTGAAAATGTGGCCAGACAGGAAGGAGATGAGCCACTGCCCACATGACTTCCTCTGGGCTAGATTTTTTGATTAGCATTCTTTCACAAATGGGGAAACTGAGCCTCAGGGAGCTGTGTGATCTGCCTAACATCGCCCAGCCAGTAAATGGCAGGCATGGAACTTGACCCTATACCCACGTGACTCTATTGACCATGTGACTCCTTGACCGTGATAAACCACCCTGGCTCAGGAGCTGACAGAGGTGCCAATAGGTGACCGATGAAGCAGACCGCAGCCACCCATGTTACCATCCTGTGGGCCAGGCCTGGGCACCTCTGTGCCATAAAGAAGGCTCGGTACTTGAGCCGTGGTGCAGGGACTAGCTGGGGAGTGAGCCTCCATGGTGCTGCCAGAACCCCTCTTCTGCGGCAATGCTGCATTGTGACTGGGTACCTGCCCTGGCACCTCCAGCACGCAGCTGCAATAGGCGGTGGGTGAAGCACACAGCTGACTTGTTCCCAGCCCTGTTCTCCAAAGCTCTGTCTCTGAGAATCACCAAAACCTTGGGAACCAGGAACCCTCCTGGATGCACTACCACAAAGGGCCTGTAGGTGGCAGTGCCAGTGACTTCCCCAGGAGTCATCGCCTGTGTCTAAGACACAAAGAGTAGTTCCCACTGTCTCATAGCTGGTGAAGGATGGGCAGCCTGAGAGAATGGAAAGCCTGAGAGCACTGGGGGCAGAATCCTAGATCTGGGTCCCAGCCCCGTGACCTTGCCTCTTGGAACCCTGCCTTCCTCAAGTGTAGGATGCTGATAATATCTCCCTTCAAGCAGGCCTTCATAATACCTAGGCGAGATAGCTACTCTAGCTGCCTGTCTTCCCTCTTCCCTTCCTTCATTTAATTCATCCACAAACAAGTATTCAGTGTCTGTGTCTTCTGGGTACCGATGAGGGCAGGGCCCACAGGCCAGGAAGGACAGAACCCCTATTTTAACAAGGCCCATAAGTTTTGGGAAGGGTAGTAGCACAGTAAAAAATAAAACTGGGTCACACAGTGGCAAGTGGTTGAAAGCTACTTGGGGGAGGGTGATTATGAAAGGCTTCTCTGAGGGGTGAATGGTGAGAAAGAGCTGGCCGTGCAAAGGCCCAGGGAAGGCATTCTGTGTGGGGAAAGCACATTCAACATCCCCAAATCTGGTGGGGTTTGGTGTGCCCGAGCACCATGGTTTGGGTGCAATTTGTGTGCTGGAAACTTGGTCCCCAGTATGGTGATATGAGGGAGTGGTGGCCTTTTAAGACTTTGAGCCCAGAGCAAAATGATTAGGTCAAGGGGGCTCTGCCCTCAGAAGGAATTAGTGGTGGTCTTACAACAATATAAGTTGGTTCCCTCCAGAGAGGGTGGTTAGAAAGGCGAAAGTCTTCCCTACAATGCTCCCACCATGATGCCAGATGCCACAATGCCCTCACCACAGTCTAGCAGAAACCAAGACCATGCTCTTGAACTTCCAAACCTGTGAGTTAAATGAACCTCTTTATTTTATGCATTACCCAGCATCAGGTATGTCTTAGTTACTTTCTTCACTGCTGAGACAAAATACTTCACACCCAAAGTGAAAGGAGGAAAGTTTTATTTAGCTCACAGTTTGTGGAGGTTTCAGTCCATAATCAGCTGGCTCCAAGGCAGGGTGGCATGACAGAGGCGCATCAGAGAGAAAAAGTAATCCACAAGCAGGCAGTCAAGAGCACATTGGCTTTTGGTCCCACATATTTTACACAGGCTACCTGCCCTAAGGTGGTTGTAGCCCCCTCATGCTTAATACCAACCAGAACTCTGCCAAACCAATCAGTGAGATGATTCAGCAATCACACACCCTTAATCCCAGCACCACACACTGTAGATTCAGTCACCTCTGAAGAGCCCCCCACGATTGCATGAAGCTTTGGAGGAAACATCTAGACACAAGCCATAAAGAGGGAGTTTGTTATGACAACGGAAAATGGACTAAGTCAATGCGAATGCCAAGAATGAAAGACAAAGAGTGGTGGAGAGAATGGCGGCTGAGGGCTGAGGCTGGGGCTGTGGGTAAACCCAAAGTAGGATAGGGACCTGGAAGGCCTGGGGCAGGAAGCCGACCTGAGAGCTTAATGTTAGTAGCTACAGGCACAATCTCTGGCCCCTCCTTGTTTCCTAGCTGGGGACACAGGCCAGCCCCACTTCTGGCCTGAGGGGCTCCCAGTTCATCTGACAATGACCCAAATGCAGGGCATCTCTGGGGTCCTCACAGCTCCCATCTTGAGCCCTGGCAAGATAAAGTAGGGTCACAGATGTCACCAGGCCTGGCAAGGCTGCTCTTTCTAACCTTCTCCAACCCTTCCTGCTTTACCTGCTCCAAAAGAGGAAAATTATGAGCTCCAGGGAGGGGTGGAACTTTGTGACCAGGAGGGCTCATGGGAGTGGCCAGTCCATCCCAGCCAGGAAGGCAATAAAGTCTGGCCCAACTGGTTCTACCAAGTGGAGGGAAGTGGCTCTTTCCAGCTACTGAAGCTCTCAGCTCTGCAGGAGGGTGTAGGGAGGGCTGCTGTCCCCTCCCAGACACCTGTAGGATATGTTTACCTCCCCTGTGACTCCTTTGATGCTCTGAGAAAGGTTGGGAGAGCGGGTGCCTTCCTGACTGATGCTCAGAACTGCTGCTGCTCAGGAGGGCCCCATACCCAGGGTCACCTCAGCACCCTCGCTTGGCTCTGGCTTCCCTCTCTGCTCACCCTGTCTCTCTGCTCTCCTCCCATTCCTCATCTCCAACCTCATCTCTCTCCAGGTGATCTCCAGAATATATAAAACTCAATGTCAGCTATGACCCAGAACATATTCTTGGGTAACTGATAGCCATGGCCCTGAAGGAGCCATGAACACCTTCTTACCAACAGTGGTCCTGTCACATTGCTGTAGCAAACACTGAGACAAGAGACAAAGAGAGGGTTTAAGTGTGTCCCCAGGAGGTGTCTGCAAGGGAGCACCGACCCCCATCTATTGCTTCCATTGTAGGATGAACCACTGGCTTCCCAGAGTGCCCAGTGGCCAGCCAGGCTAAGTCAGAGTCATCCAAAAGCATTTTAGAAAGACAGATCCCCAAGCCCATTCAAGAGGTACTAAACCAGACTTTCCAGGGCCAGATGTTTAACAGTCCCCCGGGTATTTTGATGGACAGTGCAAACAGAGAGTGCCAAGACGGGTGAGGGTTGGACTTCTCTCCCTCCTATTCAATTCTTTACCAGATCATGGTCAGCATCTCCCACTAGGTGCCAGACAGTGTGCTCAGAGCCAGGCAGAGAAAAGACACAACGAAGATCTGACCCCAAACCAACCGAACTTCTAATCCATACATGATACAGCCCTATCCACCTTGCCCTGCCATCCTGCACCTCGATCCCTAGTGCCAGCTGCACTGGTCCCATTTGCCTCTTTAAGGCTCTGTATCCATTTTCCATGCAGCTCCATCCCATCAGCTTGGTTCTCACCCTTATCCCAAAGCCCACTCCATCTTGCCCCTGTTAAACCCACTTACCTGCCAGAAACATGAGGAATGTGTTCATAAGAGACTGGATTCTGAAGTCGAAGATCCTGAGTTCCAATCTTCCCCCTGCTGTCTATTCCTGGACAATTCACTCAAGGTTTCTCTGCCTATTTCCCATTCTGCAAAACAATAGGTTCTCATAGGGCTAAGGACATGAGTTCATATTTACACAGTGAAGCACTTAGAATGGTGCATTAAAATGCAGCCTGCCTGACCCAGTGCTCTGGCTTAAGCTCAGCCTATCCAGTGCCAAGTGACACTCCCTACGTGCACCCATTGGGACACCCAAAAGCACTTCCGTTTTCCCTTAGCAGCCCTGCTTCTTTGGGGTACAGCTCAAAATTGTTTAAAATTACATTTCCCTTTGTGGAACTATGCAGTCATGTCTGCCTTCCCTTCTTCCCCACCAGGAAAGAAACCACAAAGCCCCTTCTCAGTACAGTCCCTGGCCCTTTGAAGAGGTCAAAAACTATTTGCCAAATGAGCAAATGGAGGAATCAAGCATAGCCTCTGAGAGCCAGGCTGTCTTGCCTCCCCTTGAAGTCAACATCAGCATGAGTCACACTCAAAAAACCTGAGTCTCACAACTCAGGAATCATCAAAAGGCAAGCTGGATGCTTTACCGCAGTCTCTTGAGAGGATGCCAAAAGGTGGGAGTTCTATTCATCACTCAGACTTCAATCCCTCAACTCTCCCTCTTGCCTGCCCTGGCCTCCAAGGAAAAAGGCCAGACTGCCACGCCTGGCCAGCCACCCAGACTGAAATGCTGCTGGCCCAGTTTTCCTGATAGAATCGGGGGACCAAGCCATATGCTTGGGGCCTTTGTCCCCTAAAGGAAGGATTCCCTGGCCAGTCATGGGAACTATGAATTCCTGAAGGACTGGTGGACAAAGAGCTCTCAACTCCCTTCTCCAGGTTCCCCAGCTTACCTTGAGGTAAGGGATCAAGGGAAGAGCGATGACTAGACCAGATCCCCCATCTCCACTCCCACCTTTTACTGCACAAAGAGAGATGAGCAAAGAGAATCCGCATTGGGAGGCTTCCCCTTCTGTTCTTGATAAGCTTAGAGTCCTGCAGTGCTCACTGAATGGCTGAGCTGTTGGGGAACTAAACAGTGAAGTTTACTCCACCTCAATAAGCCCTTCTCTTTTCTGGGAATCAGTTTTCTCCATCCACAAATAGGATGTCAACCTTCTCTCCAGTTGGAGACCAAGATGGCAGCCTGGGAAACCTGTGCCACATGAATGGCCTGGGAGTGGGTATGCAAAATTAGAGAGACAACGCAATCTGCCCTGGAGATGGCCACACTCCTGCAGCAATCATAAAGACAAGAAGGCTCTTAAGGACCGAAACACTTGGTACAGATTTTATCAAATTATATGTATTATGGGGAAACCTAGGTATGGGTCTTAGGCCCAAATGACCTTCCTGCTCTGAGGCCCTCAGGTAGCTTGCTTGTGTCTCTTTTAAGACACATCTTTGGGACTGGGGATTTAGCTCAGCAGCGTAAGCATCTGCTTGACAGGTGCAAGTTCGTGAGTTTGATCCCTGGTTCCACCAAAAAAAAAAAAAAAAAAAAAAAAAGGACACATCTTTAAGCTGTTTGTACAGTGATTTGCATCTGACCTCTCCCAGAGAGCTAAAGAGATTCCCCCACCCAGGAAATACTCATTTTCTTGCCCCCTAATAATAGGAAGTCCTACATCTTGCAAGCTAATAAATATTCAATAAATATCCTCTGACATGAGTATTTAAAATACAAACTTCACCAGTGGCTGGCTATGTGATATTGGGAAATTTTCTTAATGTCTCTGAGCTTGAGTTTTCTTGCCTGTAAAGTAAGAAAAAAATGTATCTTATTGCCTCTAAGTTCATTTTAAAGGTTAAATAAAAGTATGCACATCTATCACAAGTAAAGAGCTCAACAGAGTTTTGATAACTGTGGTGATGATGGTGGTCATGGTGGTCATGGTGATGGTGGCATGGTGGTGGTGGTGGTGGTGGTGGTGGTGATGGTGCTGATGACAGTGGGAGAGATAGTGACCACCATAGTAGTGACAATAGCCCATTTTTCTACTGGACCTGGAGACTAAGCCTGGAGGCGGTATTGTTAAGGTTATAGCTGTGATGGTGGGGCGAATGGTGGTGATGGCCACAGTAATGGTGACAGGGTGACACTGACACTGGTGTCAGTGGTGAAGACAGTGATGTGATGGTGACGACTGCCCTCCCTGGGTCAGCTCAGGTTAGACCAGACTCAGCTCCCTCATTGGCCGTGGGTCCAGGCACTACTGGGCAGGCAGGCACCTAGAAGCCTGCCAAGGCCTGTGCCCTCCGCAGTGCTATTGAGGCGGAATCGGAAAGCAAACACCCACACTCAATAAGAGGTGCGGATGTTTCAAGCGGCATGTTCCGCCAACAAAAGGTGAATGTAATAATTTTGAAAGGAATATTTGTGCACTTGAGCTGCTGAACAGCCATTTAATATGGTGCTGGCAGGGGAGGCAGGACACGTGAACAATGAGAAATATGTATCCATTACACCAGCGGGGACGGCGGCTTCATGCAGGGACCTGAATCTGGAGTCAACTTTTTTAGGAAAAGGCCACTGTGGGAATAAGCCACAAACCTGTACTGAGCACCAGCTGTGTGCAGGCCTGGCTCTGTGGAGGGCGCAACTGAGCACGAAACCCAGTTATTACCTTTGAAAATTCCAAGGGTAGAGGAGGCAAAATACATAAAATAAAACCCTGGCATCTGGCCATTTATTCAACAAGTGCACACTAAACACTGCTGGGTGTGAGGCCTGCGTAGGCACGGTGAACACGGGGGAAAGTCTCTATGCTAAGGTACCCCCAGCCTGGCGGGGAAGACAGATGTGTGAATAAACACAGCACCATTTCCCAGATCTCTGGGTGACTTAGAAATAAACCTAAAATAGTAATATAAAGACAAACGAGCCTGGGGTTTCTAGAAAATGTGGGATGCATGAGGGCTTTTGAGACTGGGCGGTGGGTTAGGGGACACAATAGCCCTGTTCCCCCCTCCCTGAGCTCCAGACTCTTCTACCCAGCTGCCACTAGGAGGCCTCCAAGGCAATGCAAACAGAACAAAAATGTGCTTCCAGCTCTGGGTTCCTCCAGCCCAGGTCCACCTCTTATCAGGGTGCTCCTGAACCAGGGTGCCCAGAAATCTAGAGGTTATTGTAAGACCCCCATACTCCATGTCCACAGTCTCCCTCCAAGCCTGTCACTGCCTGACGCCTTCATGACTTCTTTCCCTTCTTTCTTTCACCATCTTCTTGCCCCCAACTCATACCCGGCCTCCCCTCACCTAGGATCCCCACAGACCCCTGCTGATGCTCCATTTGGTTCCACCCATTCTCCACATCCCCTAGCATCCTTCCCTCGCTTGATAGTTCCCATTATGTTCAAAATAAAGGCATCACAGTGTTAAAGAGCTTTCAGTAGTGAGCCAGGAAGATGCTGAGGAGCCAGCCCCACGTGCTGCCTATTCTCTCTCCCCATCCCTCTCCACTCGACCACCCTGCCTTCCTCTCCCTTTTGCACAGTCACCTGCTCCTTGCCCCTCCAGGGCCTTTGCACATATTCTTCTACCTAGAAGATTCTCCCAGTCCCTCCTTACCTAGATAACATCTCACACTTAACATCTCAACTGAAAGACACTTCCTGCAAGAAGTCTTCCATGACCTTCTAGACTATCTCTGAATTCCCACATGGCACCATGATTGTGTTTGTGTAGCAACAGCACATTGGCTTGGTTAGTCATTTGATTAAAATAAGTCTCCCAGAAATTCCTCCAGAGCAGGAATCATGGCTGCTTCTGCTCCCTCCAGAACAGAGGGCCTGGTACATTGTAAGCACGCAGTGAGCAGAGTCAGAGAACTATATAATGACAGAGAACACTTCTTCCCGTGCAAACCCTCCATCCCCTCTGCAGTCAACCCTGAACCCATCAGAGGCTGGTGGAGACACTGAGAGAAACAATGACCCACCCAAGTCACAGAGCAAACAAGGAGCCACGCAAGGACCTGTGGAATCAGGCTTTCTGGCTGCCATGGCTTCCCAGTTTTGGGGCTCTAGTTTGACTTGGGGTCTAGCTAGACTCCATGGTATGGGGAGGGAGGAAGGCAGGTGTGGTGTCCCGCAGGAGGGAACAATTGTAGAGCCCCCTGTTATCTATGCACCTGGGCTCTGATGAAGGCTGCAAGCACCCTAGTGAGAAAAATGTGTTTTCTCATGTTATACTGATCCCTGCAAAACCATATGCAAATGTATGCAAATTATGTGCAAACACAGGCTCTGACTTGGAGGAGAGAAACCAAAAGACTGGTACCAAGGGGAGCCATCTAAGATGAGACCAAGCTGCTGGCCCTTCTGGCCTGCCAAGCTGTGACACAGTCTTGTCAGCCACACAACTAAAATGGGTTTGGAAGAGTAGTAAGTGGGAAGGACACCTGTCTCAGCCCTACACCTTCTGCTTCCCAAACACAGACCACTGATGGGGGCCCCTGGGTGCTGTGAACTGCGGCTAATTTCCGAGGGGTGGGGCCACACCTAGCCTATCGTTGGGTCAGCTGTAAGGGGGCTTCTATGGGCCTCACCTCAAAGCCCTACAGAAATGTTTGCAGTTGAGACTCCTGTTGTTTCCCAACAGGCTGGGATTTGTACTCAGAGACAGAGTCCATGACCTGCAGAGTCTGGGGCCTACAGTCAGCAGGGCCCTTGCCTTGGCTTGGTTCATGATCTCTTCTCCCTCCCTTAGAGACATGGCTCAAGGACCTCCTGTGCAGCACACTCCCAGTCCCCTGACTGTTCCCAGGTAGCAAGGCCCTCCTGCCCAGCTCTGATTTCCCCAGCCAGGGACTCTGAATGCACAAGAGGAAGACTCTTGTGTGAGGAGCCATCTTGTGAAGGCCCAAGAGCACCCCTCTCCACCAAAACGGGGGTGTCGGGCGAGCGAACAAATGAATGAGAGTGATAGAAGAACAAGGAGGGAACAAATGTAGCATCAGTGATCTCCTCAGGAAAATCCCAGAGGCGCTGAGGGTGCCAGGGAGCCACAGACGGTGCAGGCTGAGTGGAACTGGCCTCCTGCC